TTATAATAATTTCTATTATTATCAAAATTAATTGTTTGATATAATTATCTTTTAAATTTGTTTATCATGTGTACCGAGTAGAGGAGGATGATGAATACAAAATTAATTAGTAAATTTGTTAGAAATCCTTAACGTGAAATTAAAGTAGTGGATGTAGATTTCATTGAGAAAATTGAACCACTATAAATCTTTGTGTAAATTTTCCTATCCTTTTTTTTTTCGCACCCAAATTTTTCAAAAGACCAATTCATCCCGTCTTTTACACTTTTTTGATTGTTCATAAAGTCTCAAAAATCCTAACAGGTATATCAATTAAGGATGAGTATCTCACCTAGATTCAACATGTTCTATATAATTTGATTCGGTTGGGTTAGTTTTTTATCTTAAATTTTGAGTTTTAGGGTAGGTCGGATAATGTTTTTAAGGATGTAGTATGGTCGGGTTTAGGGTGAAAAATTCAATTCGACCAATATAATATTATAATGATCTTTTGTATTAGAGATATTTGTAAATTTTTTTATTTTACTTTTTCAACTATGATCATATTTAACCTATAAACATATATATAGGTTGAATCGAGTGTGACCAAATACGAATTTTGACCTAAAAAATTAAATTAGATTAAAGGTCAGATGAGATTCTCCTAAATTTTGAATCAGATTAGATACAAAAATGAAGATTTAATTTTCTCAATTGATTACCGATTAAAAGATTTCAAATTAATTTGAACGGTAAAAAATCCGACCTGACCCAAGCCATCATAATCCATACACTTTTGGAGTCGTATAGGCTATTGGCCTAAAAACAGAGAATCCTTCATTGGGCTGAAGTAAAGCCCAACAATGAAGCACCATTATTGTAAATTCAGTTCGTCAGTTTCCTTCAACGATTAGCCCTAAAAATCCCAATTCAAACCCCCAAAATTTCCCCAAAATTTGAAGTTAGAAACACAACTAATTTTGAAGTTAGGAAAAAGGAAGAATGAGTAACGTTCCAAAGGAAGCCATTGAAGTGATAGCGCAGAGTATCGGCATTACGAATTTGTCCCCAGATGTCGCCATGCTTTGGCTCCTGATGTTGAATATCGTGTTCGAGAAATCATGCAGGTAATTTGATTCCACCTTTTATAGATTCAAATCCGAGTGTTTACTTTAAGAAATTAATATTTGTTATATAACCTTTTTTGGATTTTTTTCTAATTCAAGTCATAATGCAGGAGGCAATTAAATCCATGCGCCACTCACGGCGGACGGTTTGACAGCTGATGACGTTGACAGTGCTTAATCTGCGAAACGTGGAGGTACATTTTGAGTTTTAATAATTTTGTTCTGCTTATTGTAAATTTCTTACATATATTTTCTTTTGTTAGTTGAGAATAGTACTAATTAATGTTATTTTAGTATACTTTTGTAGGAATTTATGAATTTTTGGAGTGATGTGATAATTTCTGGTCATGTGTGCTAAATCCTATAATGACCTAAAGTGGAATTTTATAAAACTAAATTTTGAAAGTTTGAATCTTTAGTTCAAGTCGCGCTTTAATTTTTTTTGGGGCTAATTGGCTTGTGTTATTGCTTCTCTCTTGCATCAGCCGATATATGGCTTTACTTCTCGTGATTCACTACGATTCAAAAGAGCGGCTGGGCTAAGGATTTGTTCTATATTGATGACAAGGATGTGGAATTTAAAGAAGTAGAATAATCATTGATCTTAGAAGTTCCGTCGATACTGCTTTCTATCGAAGACTTTTTAACTTATATTCGTGTATGTTGTGTAGGTTCTTGAATCGCCTTTGTCAAAAGCACCAATTGATACATCAGTCACATCTCACTGGCTTGCAATTGAAGGCATTCAACCGGCAATTCCGGAGAATGCTTCAGTAGAAGGTACTCTTAGTTAACATGGTCGGGATAAAAGATCCTGACTATGAACTTCCATAGCCTTTGTATGTATTTCCACAAAACCTTCAGATTAGAAATTTAGATTTGGAGTTTGAAATGATCTCTGCAGAGGTATTCATGTTGAAGACACTCATAGTATGTGTTCTTTTCGGTTTTGTCGCTTTAATCTATTACGAACTTATCTTAATTTCTATCTGGAATTGTCATTTTCTTTCCCTGCAGCACCTTTGATGGCAAAAAGGCTGAATACAAAGAGGATGGAACTTCTGTTGATGTTAATTACCTGTTAAGCATGTATTATCGAGAGAACTTCAAGTATGTTTTACATCTTCAGCAACATTTTTATGTTAAAACACTTTTTTGCTGGGAATGACATTAAGAGACTGATTTGGTTGCTATGCAGCTTACTTTGACAAGATCGTGGAGATTACCATGAATAGATCTCTCTCAATTCTCTTTAAGCATGCATTACTAAGCTTGGCAACTGACTCAGGACTACATCCCTTAGTTCCTTATTTCACATTTCATTGCTGATGAGGTTGTGTTAAAGGTCTTTCATGCCTTGTTAATATGTGTGTGGCAAAAGAACCTCTGGTTGGTTATCTTAAGCTTTTGTTTTCCCATGGTTATCTCAGGTTGCACGGAATTTAAATAATTTCCTTCTTTTGTTTGCTTTGATGCGTGTCACTCGGAGCCTTTCCAGAACGAACACATACACATAGTAGTGAGTTTATTGTTTCAATTTCGAACTAAAACATGTATGCTAGTGGTTTAATTTCTGCCTATCTGATTTTTTTTAAATGTTCTTCAGTTACACCAATTGATGCCATCTATTATAACCTGCCTCATTGCGAAAAGATTAGGGAATAAATTCACTGACAACCACTGGGAACTTAGAAACTTCGCAGCAAAGCTAGTGGCATCAATATGCAAAAGGTGAAGAATTCATTTCTTTTGGACTTAGACATAGCATATTCATTTTTATGAATTTCAGGAGTTTCTTTAGTTTTGAACTTGGATCTCTGGTGCAATAATTTGTTTATTCATTTTTGTACTATTTTGTATGTGCAACGAAAATGGTACAAGCATGCTTGTCATGCCTATTTTGATGACGTGGATATGACTCTTTTTTACTATGATCTAACTAAGACACTTGTTTTAGGTTAAATACGGCAAGGGTTAACTTTAATCTCTGGCATAATGGTTGTCCTCTATATGCATAATTGCATACTTATACATACATAATGTTTTGCAGATTTGGGCATGTTTATCACAATCTTCAGCCACGTGTGACTAGGACTCTGCTCCATGCTTTTTGGACCCAACCAAAACATTTCCCCAGCATTACGGTGCAATTCAGGGGTTAGCAGCCCTTGGACCCAGTGTGGTATCTTAATCATGGCATCACTTATACCTAGTACTTTTGTATTTTTCCGATAAATGTCTTTGTTATGTTTCGCTAATGACCTTTCTTCCTTGTGTAGGTTCGTCTACTTATACTACCAAATCTTGAAGCATATTTGCATCTTCTTGAACCTGAAATGGCACTGGAGAAACAGAAGAATGAAATAAAAAGACACGAAGCCTGTTGTTTTATGGGGCTCTACTGGCAAGTTTATTGTCCAATTGATACACCAGATTACGATATCCCCGCATGTATTTGCAGGTGATGTTATTATGCAGCAAAACTAACAACGATGTTTAAATTTTCTGCTACCAGCGTGCAGCTGGGCTGTGCATGTATGATCGGCTTAAAATGTTCCCCAGTCTGCTAGCCCCTCCAACTCGTCCCGTCTGGAAAAACCAGTGGCAAAGTTGCAACGACAAGTATGGTTTCTTGAAACCATCGTTTTTACATTTAATACACAAGTCTCTTGTTGTCCTTATGTTCTGTCTTATTCTGATCAATCTAGATAAACGAAAAGCAAGCACGGACAACTTGATGCAGCAACCACCTGTAAAGAAAATAGCAACCGAGAGTGCAATGGGAATGATGCCAATAAATTCCATGCAAGTGATTTACAAGGGGCAGCTAGCAGCTTTTCTAACTCCGTAGGAGGTTCGAATATTGGCGTATCATCAATGTCTCGGCCGCTATCAAATGATACATGCTGGGAAGGGAGGCTGGCGGGCGAGTTTCAAAGACATCGACCGTTCTAGCTCAGGCTTGGAAGGAAGATACAGATGCAGGGAACTTGTTGGCTTCACTATTTGAACTTTTTGGTGAGAGTATGTTATCATTTACCCCAAACCTGAGCTTTCATTCTTCCTTGATTAAATTTTACCTCCATAGGTAATGTTTTCCACAGTCATATGTTTACTTTTATAAACCTTTTCTTTTCTTTTCATGTATGTATTATATGTAGTTATCACAGAAATATTCTACTTGGATTTTATTTATATTGAGAAATTTGTCTGTTTACTATGGATTTAGATTAATTATTGTAAAATAAAGAAAATGCTCATATTACTTGATATTTTTAACAAATATTTTTTTGGAGAATTAATTGCACCATTTGTCCTCAAACTATGATCCTCTTTATAAATTGGTCCCTAAACTTTTAAATATTTCAATTTCATCCCTAAATTATGACTTATTCTAAATTTGTCCTCAAACTTTTTCAATATTTCAGTTTCATCCCAAGTTATGTGTACACTAATCAAATTCCATGTTAATAAAATCATTAGGTCATACTATTATTATATGTTTGAAAAAATAAAGTCCAGGTTAAACTATGGTTAAAAGTATTTATATTTGAATGAACTTGAGATGAAATTGGAAGATTTAAAAGTTTGAGGACCAATTTAGAATGAGTCCATAGTTTGAAGATAAAATTGAAATATTCAAAAGTTTAAGAACTAATTTAGAGTGAGTATTATAGTTTGAGGATGAAATTAGAATAATCAAAAGTTTAGGGACATCGAATTCATGAATATCAATCAATATGTTAAATTAGTCATCAAATTAACGTTCAACAAAATTACCTTAAAATTATTATTATTACATATAATGTTTGAAAGAGCAACATTTGACTTCTATGAAAATTGGATACATGAGAGCAACATATATAACAAATGAGAAGCTGACAAACATCAAATTGCCAACACAATGCCAATTCAAAGAGCATACAAAGCCAACATGAGAAGACATCGAATCATCCATGTAATGAACAATGAATTCGGAAGAAATAATTCACTCTCCTTCACTTAAAATGGGCACAATGAGCGGCTTCATTTGTGCTAGATATACAATTGCCCACCTAATGAAAAGCAAATGAAATTTATCATCACAAACTACAAAAGAAAATGAAACGAGACGTGTTTCGAGAAAGGGTTTAGCTTCCTCGTCGAACTCGATGAAGATGTCTGCATATACGACGGGCTCGAGTACTTCAAAAGAAAAGAAGCGGAAAAACATAGAAGATGCAAGCTTATGTGGTGAATGCAGGAAATGGGTTATTCATATGAATGGTACACAGGCTGACAGGCATATGTTTAAGCAGTGGATTATATGAATATATACCGATAAAGACAATATTCTCGATCGATATGAAAGAGATATCGGATCAATTCAAAACTCTAAACGCATGCCAATATATACATATATAGTCAAGCAACTAGAGAAGAAAGACAAATGAAGAAGAACATAAACTTACATCATCCAACAACAAACAGTTGCTGTAATGACCAATGTTAGGTGCAACCTGCATAATAAAACAAGCAAAATGCAGTTTTCCAGTAAGAGCAAAGAAAAATAGAGGGAAACACAGCAGGAGATGAAAATCGAAGAAAAAAACTTCCTAGTCTGTAAATGACAAACCAGGCTATACTTAATCAATACAAAATTCCGATACTATCGGGTTTACGAGAGCACCAATAATCTCTTATCGAATCAACATTCATAGTAAGCAACCATAGCACAATGAAATCAACACTTAGTTCACACTGCTAACTTGCTATTCGATCCAAAAGACCCACTTACAGTGTACCATCTTAAAGCATATCTCATTAATTTGTATCAATCGAAATACACACTTTAAACTTCAATTGGAGTAATATCAACCCAGACTGTGAAAAGGCAACAAATTTTAGTATATGAAACTTAAATCCAAGAAAAATTAATGAAAAAAGAGTAAATTTAAATGTAAAAATAAAAAAATGGAGAGAAATGTTAAAAGGGTACTTACAGATTAGCAGATGGACCTCTATTACAGCAGATTCTGGTACAAATTGATGCGATTATACCGACCACAGAAAAAATTAGGGTTGTTACCAAGAAACCCATATTCCGATCTCGATTTTACTCAATTTCCTGCATAGAAAGAAAATTAAAGTTCTTTTTTTTAATATAAACGATTTGGATCTCAGCAAAGCAAAAAGGAAATTCGGATCAGATATAATTACACTTACCTTCTGCTCTGTTTTCCCGAGAAAATGCAAGAAAATATGAGTTGCGATCTTAGAACTTAACTTTAGTAATTGAAAGTAAAAAAGAAATTTAACATTCTCCGGATAAATCGTGGTATCCTTAACAAAAGCTGTTTATTTATAGGGTAAATTACACTACTCATCACTAAACTATACTCTCTCTCTATTTAACTCACTATACTTTAAATCCGTTCAATTTTCTCACTGAAATTAATACAATTAGTATTTTTTATCACTTAGCTATTAAATATCTAACGTTTTAAATGACGTCATTTTAGAAAAATAAATTTTCAGCCATTCAATTTTCTCACTGAAATTAATACAATTAGTATTTTTTGTCACTTAGCTATTAAATATCTAACGGTTTTAAATAACGTCATTTTAGAAAAATAAAATTTCAGCCATTCAATTTTATCACTGAATTTAATACAATTAATATTTTGGTCACTTAGCCGTTAAATATCTAACTCGTTAAATGACGTCGTTTTAGAAAAATAAAATTTTCAGCAAAACGATGTCGTTTTAATTCTATATATCTCATTTATAACATCGTTTAGTGAGAAAATAATTGAGTGACCAAAAATACTAATTGTGTTAAATTCAGTGAAAAAATTAAATAGATTTAAAGTATAGTGAGTGAAATAGGAGAGAGAGTAAAGTTTAGTGATGATTAGTGTAATTTACCCTTATTTATAAGTTACTTGAATCTGGTTCGAGTATGAGAATATTGAATAAGTCGAATTTAATTATATTAATTAGAGTTAATTGTATCACATGTCCTTAAAGTATGACCTTCATTTTAAATTAATCTTTAACCTTTTAAATGTTCCAAATTATCATCTTTCTAAATTAGTCCCCAAACTTTTTGAACATTCCAGTTTTATCCCAAATTATATATGTATACTAATCACATCCATTGTTAATAAAATCACTAGGATAAGTTATATTATATGTTTGAAAAAAAATTAGGTTAAACTATAGTTGAAAATAATTACATATTTGGATGACTTTGAGAGAAATTCAAATATTCAAAAAGTTTAGGGATCAATTAGAAAGACAATCATAGTTTGGGGATGAATTAAATTGTTAAAAAATTGAGGACTAATCTAACATTACATTTTGATTTTCATTTCGATTATCCACCGTTAAAAAAATAATTACGTTTTGATTTCATTTTCATCATCCTCCACCGTTAAAAAAATTAACAATAACACTAATATATCACCCCATGCAGTCATATCATTGAATCTTTTTTTAAAAAAATCACTCAACAGTTTTGTCAATTTTTAATTGCAGATAGACTAAAATAAAACAAATATAACGTTACGATAATTTAAAAAAATATAATAACCAAGTGACTAATCCAGAACAAAAGTAATAGCTGGACACTAAACGTATATTTTACCCAAAATCTTATAAAAAACATGAAATTTGATCTGATTCTCAAATGAAAATTACAAGTCAAGTAACAGTTGTTCATAATTTCCAAACTCTGAATAAAAATAACTTCACAAGTCAAAGCCATCATATGATTCAAAGGAAGCCATTATAACAAGCTTACTGACTGGCTGATGGATTAGTCAGCAATTCAAGCGATTTCTTTAAGTGCTCCACCGCAGTCGGCACGTCGTCAAATGCCAAGGCGCCAACAGCGAACCGAGCCGCCTTGTGTGCCTCAGTAATTTTCTCCGGTGGGGTTGGTAATTGCTGTCATATTGGTATTTTTGAGTAGTAGTTGGTGAAGATTCTGATTTTTCCCATTTCTGCCACTTGAAGAGTTTTGGGCCGTTGACGGATAGCTTGTTGTCGGAGGAGCGGCCGGGGTACTGTATGGAGTCTCGGAGCCTTGATAGAAAGAAGGATAGTGAGACGGGACTGCAGGTAAGCTACTTTCAGATGAACTTGGATATGACTGAAAATTAGGTATGAAAACGAGGGAGCTTCGTGGGATTGGTAACCAACTGGAAAATGTGGTGGTTGATCTTGCTGATAGGTTTGATAGTTGTTTGGTTGAGGGTATGTGGGATTTTCAGATCTGTTTCCAGGAAATGATGGATGGAAGTCTTGTTGGGGTTCTTGAGGGAAAGATTGATCGTGAGAAGGGTAATCGGTAGAAGGAAATGAAGGAGGTACTGATGAAATATTTGAATGCTGGCTGTCGATCTTATCATGGAACTGAGGTGATGGTGGAATATTACCAGAATGCTGGTTATTTGCTTCATGGAAATGAGGTGATGGTCGAATATCACCAGAATGCAGGTTATTTGCTTCATGGAACCGGGGTGATGGATCGGAACTTTGATGAGGAATGGTAGCAGCAGGATCATGTGGCCCAAAATCCTACAAGAACAAGCATAGATGAAGATAATCGAGAATTTGTTATCTGTCGGTGAATCTGTTTATACGCTTATAGCCATGTGGCCCGAAATACTAAAGCATTGGTCTGAGAAACATACATGTGCACCATGAGGTGTACTCGGTGGAATCGACAAATCTTCGTCACCATTCGGAGGGCCAGGAACAGGCTTCCTACCTTCTTTTATAGCTTTTCTAATATCTGCTGCTTTCCAAACTGCATACTTCTGTTTCTGCTCAAGCTGTAGAGGAAAACAGGAAAGTTTGAAACAAAAAACAACACGAATAATAAGTTACGATACAAGTCATAACCAGAATTGCATCAAAATTAGAAGCACAAACTCTTAATCCAAGTATAACAACTACAATTAGAAACTCACATCAGGCTGAAGAGGGCCAAATTGGTTTATAATATCAAAGAAAATGCTGGCAGCGTAAAATGTCTTTGCCGTATTCCTGCACCAGCAGAAAAAAAGTTACTCTCGAATCACTTGTAGCCATACCAAACCACTAACAACAGCCATATATAATAAAAGAATATCTACATACAAGTCTGCTCGTCCAGCACGATCTTGTTGTCTGCCTTTGAAAAACATTCAAGGCAAATCCCTCTAGATGCAAATTATCTTCAGGTCCCAACTTCACTGTTTTCTTATCCTGCAATACATCAGTAGTGAGGAGAGATTTTTAGTTCCTATACAAAATTTATATATCATACAACTAAATGATAAATACAAAGCTCTACGACTATGATTCTAATTAAACAGCATTCAATTCAAATGTACAAAAAAAATACATATATGTTATTTCTTCTGAAAGATGTATTAGTTACAAATGAAGAAAGAACCTTTAAACAATGTAAGGGGATTACAGGCAGCATAAACATGGTATAAAGTCAATGCTGCAAAGCGGATCCCAACAATTGATTTTGCACATTAAGATTACGCCACCAGGCAAATCTAAAATAGCACCTGGAGCTTCAGTACCAGTGCAAACAACATGATACAATCCTGCTACCGGATCAAATGTCTGACACAATTAAGCTTGAGGATGTAATCGAGCTGAATGATTATGATAAAAACTTGCATATCCTAATGGATTCATGTACAAAACCACAAGCTAGGATGATTTAATAAGAAAAGCAGGCCTTGCAGTTAAAGATTCTTGGACAAGTGTCAAGTCCACAAGTTAAGACCGTGGAACCAAGGTGGTCAACCTCTTGAAAATTGATACTGATGAGAATACAAGTACCATGTTGCGAGACAAATTCAGATTTTCACACCAGCCGATTCGGGAAGATCTGAATTAGGCTCGCATCATTACCATCTTGCAAGAGGTTGACCATCAAGGTTCCTCAGCTCATCCAAGCTGACACCCTCTCCAAGGATCCTCAACAGCAAGCCTTGCATTATTTGTTAAAACATCCTAAACTCGACTCGCTCAGGTCTAAATCATAAGCACAAAGCCCAGCAACATCTTCCAGCTCAGTTATATCAAGCATTCGATCCACTACTCATATCGTATCACATCAACTCTCAAAAGCCCAAAATTAGACCTAATCGATGAAAAATATTCTACAAGAAACACCAACGTTTTAAAATCGAATATCTTCATGCAAAACCACATGAACCGATCATCAACATTACGAATTAAGTTTTCTAAAAAAACTATACTAGACCCAGATTATTAAACAGTTCAAATCAAAATACCCATAAATCAAATTTCAAATTCAGCAAATCATTAAAAAATAAGAAAAAAAGACAGACCTTTTCAAGCTGATTCATGAGAGAAACGAGAGAGCATTGGTGGTTTTGGTTCTCTCGTTATTGGGTATCTTCATCCTTTTTCCATTGCATATAACCGACCTTTTTTTAAAAAAAAAACAACAATCAAAGCATAAGAAAAGGATCTAATCAACTTCAAAAAAACGATTCAAAAAAAGAGGTTAAAGATTTTGAATTTACAATAATATGCAACAAGAGGCTCGTGCTTTTGCAGTTCATCGGCTCGTTGAAGGTACGGCAAGAGAAGCTTCGCCGGCTCGTTATCGCTTGCCATGCCCTATTTCCTTCTGTTTTTTCTTTTTAGAGAGAGTTGCGTCGGGAGGAGGTTTTCAATATGTGAAAGAAACAGAGACTTCGTCGTTTTACAACATTAGACTCTTCGAAGTTAAGTTTTGAAAGGGTAAATTTTACAATTAGTCATCAAGCCATTATCGCCATTTTACTTTGGTCATTAAGCTATTTGATGAAAGGGTTAACTACATGGATGATCACTTGTGTTTGTATTTTTTTCACTTTTGACCACTGATTTCAAAATACATAAGATATGATTGCCATCGTCTTTATTTAAATAAGATTTGGTCACCACGAGTTTACTTCAGTTAAACCACGGATGATTTGCTAAGTTGACACGAAAAGGTAAACTACAAATTTGGTCACGTTTGTTTCAGTTTAATAAATATATGGTCACCCGATTCAAAGATCATAAGTTTCGGTCACTTACGTTATCGTTTTATTAAGATTTGGTCACTGAGACTTAGCTTACGTAAGTTTGATGACGTGATACGTTAGTAAAAAAGGTTCAATTTTTATTTTAACCCTTGAACTTTAGATAGATTACTAATCATAAGTCTTTTTGTAAATCTAAAATAGTTTAGGGATAAATATCAATTTACCCATTTCTTCATATGCTCTCTTCCCCAGCCCTATCTT